CAATGAGATGATTAGGATCCACCTAATCCGGATTATAGTTTAATAAACACATGTTAATTACTTTATTCTTCTAGATGAACTCATGAAGCATTTGGTTGGTCCTGAAATCTTCAGCAAACTGAGCTATGAGCTTTTCTATTAGTCATCCAGGGTGGACTATTTGAGTCACAAATAGTTAGCCAACTACTACTTCCAATATTCTTCAACAACACAAAAACCACAAGTTGGTATATGTGATTCATTCAATGCATATTGCATTTAATTCGCAACTTTTTACTTCATTTTCCCTATTGACTGCTTCGTAAATCAAAATGAGACAAGTTGGGTACATCCCAGTTCAGTTGTTGCCGTTCTTTTGGAACAGTCTTTTATATAGGCAAAAGTCAAGGACAAACAGCTACAATCTTACATAATCATAAAGCAAAGGATGCCGTAGCATACAAAAGTCTTCCAACGAATCGTGAAAGCTTAGCCAACCCACATGAGGTATCCATACTTACAACACAACTGCTATATATGTATGTATGTATGTATGTATGTATGTATGTATATGCACTCTTATCAATTAGGGCAACTTTCATAACACAGTAACGTGCATTGCAGGTTTTGCTGCAATGGATGTGAGAAAATATTTGTGCAGCTCAGGCTGCAGAACCATCCGATTGGGCGGGCGAATGTACTATGATGAGATTGATCGCCTGGGATTCACACCGAGAGCAGATCGAACGGCAATAAGTTGAGGTGGAAAGTCTTGTGTTGCGGGTGAAGTTGAAGAAAGAAAAGAGGAAGATTTTTGACTCTCCATCACCTGTGCAAGTCTCATGTGATCCTTACACCTACTGTCAGCATTTTGATCAATTATATATGTTAGATGAACCCGAAGAATACGATCACCTATCTCCCTCGTTCTCCATGCGTTTCGTGGATCATTCGAAGATCTTTCGGAAGAATGAATCGATGGTTTAGGGGTAGAAATGAAATTGTTTAATCCTTTGTTGCTATGTGTGTGTATGGTGTGTGTGTTTGTTTGTGTGTCTATGCATATATATAGTAATGTTCATCAGCTCATGGGATAAGAAGGGTGTCTTTCTAAAGTTTAACATGGGAAAATCCGTTTACACTCACTTCATAAGTTCATATGTAGCGAGTAATTTTTAGTGTATTCGGAACACAGTCACGTAGTGTTATTATTTCACTCAAATTATAACACGTGAAAAAGCGCATCACGTCACTTGTATTACATGTACTCATAATTAAGATGACAAACTATAATTAGTGTTATGAATTGGCTAAGTGTATATAAAGTGAATTTGCTTTTTATGTTAGTCATTGCCAACTCAAATATTGGTATTGGACCAAAAAAGAAAAAAAAAAAAAAAGGGAAGGAGGGTTCTGCAACTAAACGGTACCGTTTCAAACTTTCATGTAACATGAAAACCGAAAGGAATGAAAGAAAATTCAGATTCGCCTCGCAGAGATCGATCTTGTGCTTCTTCTTCGTCTTCAGAAAATAGGGTTTAGGGTTTTCGTTTCCGAAAAATCCCCAATTCAGTGACTTCAGAACAGCGTCGTTTCATCACCATATCCGCCAATGGGGACCGAAGTGGTGGTCACGACGGACCGAGTCCAGAAGTTCTTCGAGGACCTGGAGGCGCAGAGGGCGATTCTCTCCACCTCTACCAAGCTTTTCACAACCCTCTCCGACCACTTTGATTCCCTCCAGAAATCCATTTCCGAGAATTCCCATTCCCTCGAATCCAAAATCCAATCCCTGGAATCCCGTTCCCGCGAAACCTTACAATCCCTCGACCACCGCGAGGCCTCCATCCCGGAGCGCGAGTCCTCCGCCGCCGCTCGAATCGAGGAGCAGAAAGCCGCGGCCTTGGCCGAGGTGGAGAAGAATGTTTCCGGGGATTTGGATTTGCCGGAGACCCTGAAATCGTTTTGCAGGAAAATGGACTCCCAGGGTTTGGTGAAGTTCATCGTTTCGAAGAGGAAGGAATCAATATCGCTCAGGGCAGAGATTGTACAGGCGATTGCGGAGGCGGTGGATCCGCCAAGATTGGTGCTTGATGCATTGGAAGATTTTTTGGATTCTAAAGCTAAGAAATTCGGGGTTACCGATAAGCGGTGGGCATGCGGGCTGTTAGTTCAGGCTCTGTTTCCGGAGGGTAAGCCCAATGCTGCCGCGAAAGGGCCGGAGTTTTCTAGGAGCATGGTGGAGAGAGCGGCGGGGATTGCAGATACGTGGAAGGCGCAGATGGATGGAGATTCAAACGGTGGTGGCGGGACATTGGGGGCTGCGGAGGCGGTGATGTTTGTGCAAATGCTCGTTGGGTTTCGATTGAAAGAGAAGTTCGGTGAGGAGTTATTTAGGAAGTTGGTAATGGAGCACGCAGCGAGGAGGGATATGGCAAAGCTAGCAAGGGCTCTAGAATTCGGAGAGAAAATGGGAGGTATGTTTTTGTTTAATTAATTCCAATTTTGTTGCAACAGTTTGTTTGCAAAAAACTTATGCTACCACTTGTTGAGAAACTTTTATTTCGAATGGTCTTTCTTCTTGCATGTCGAGGCATAACCTATCGAACTTGAACCTAGATTGTTGCTGCAAGTTTGATTCTTGTATCGATCCCATTAGCGGTTCAAGCTTAGCTTGCATTTGATTCGGTTTAAAAAATCTTTCTGAGCCTAGCAAACCCAAGATTAAGTTAATGTAGACACTTATTAAGCCAGTAGGACAGATTTCAGTCTCACTGTTGCTTTGTTACCAATGAAATCTTAGAATTTATGATTTAGGAAAGCAGCACTTCTATGTCTAATGTTTTGAGTTGATTTTGATAATCTGCGGGCACTCAGAGTGTAATATCAGGGTATCATTTAGCGTGTGTAAAAGTGAAAAGCTTTACCTCTTGTATGTTATTTTGCTTACAATTTGAGATGTAGGATAGCTGACATACTAAAATTTGATGATGAAGAGTTTACAGCTTTTCAGAAATTTCCACTCAGAGAGACATTGATATGTTTTAGGAGCTAAGCTTCCCAATGATAATTTGATAACCTCCATACTTAGCTTAAATAGTAAATGCTAGAATTATGTACGGTATGTACCTTAGTTTTGCCTTGCCCTCATCAAAACTGATAATAACAGATAGTAAACTTAATCTTATGTGAGAGACCAAGAAAGCTTGTTTGTAGTTTGTACCTCCCACTTGTACATAGAATAAGAATGAGTTTACAATTGAGGCATGAAAACGTTAATGCTTAGGAACATCTGCCCAATTTATGAAACGAAACTTAAGTATGACTTGGTTAAGTGTTTGTTCCACTGATTTGTTTCTTTTGAGAAGATATTTCGTTGTTCTTCTTCCCTCTTATTTGGTTCAGCATCATTACTCGATTGCCTAGATTTTCATTTTGTAAGCATTGCCCGTTGTGTATACTTGATGAATTTCTGATTTGTACAGATGTCATTGATGAGTTAGTGAAGAATGGCAAGGAGATAGAGGCTGTATATTTTGCTTCTGAGTCTGATTTGACTGAGAGATTTCCTCCTGTTTCTCTGCTCAAGTCATATCTCAAGAACTCCAGAAAGAATGCTGCGACCATTTTGAAGAATGGCAATAATTGTGTGGCTGCTGCTGTATGTGTAACTTTCCTTTTGTCTTTAGTTTCCCCAACAGAGTTTTGTTTTTCACTGTGTAATCGGAAGAGTTTCTGCACACTTTCGGGAGATTTGTTAATCGAAGTCCATCTTACAGGAGGAGTCGAGCACATTTGAGTTGAATTCCATCAAAGCAATCATCAAATGTGTAGAAGACCACAAGCTTGAATCAGAGTTTTCTCTTGAGAACTTAAGAAAGCGGGCCACTCATCTGGAGAAGGCCAGGACAGAAAGGAAGAAGAGATCAGCATCTTCCAGCAGGCCTCATAATAATAAGCGAGCCTACGGTGGCAGTCGAGGTGGTGGCAGCGGCAGTGGCGGGGGTGGTGGCCGAGGGGTTGGACAGTCTTCTTCCCGCCCTGCCAAAGCCGCCAAGTTTTCCAATGCGTACCCCTCCACCCGCAGGAACTCAAATCCTCTTCCACAGCATAGCCCCGCAACAAGATACTCTGGTCCTTATAATTACCCGAGCCAAAGTGTGTACGATGGTCCAACAGTAGCATCATATGGATCAACATACGGAGCTCCCCCTGCTCAAAGCCCCGCTGCTCTTCCGTCGCAACACTACTCTGGGGACAGCATGGGTGCTGCCGGTTTCCGAAGTAGTGGTGCTTATGGTGGCCAGACCAACTACGGGCCATATGATTACGCAAGTGCTGCTCCACCAGCATACCAGCCTCCTTCGTATCCGCAATAGTTAGAAGCAAAACATATAGCTTAGATGATGGAAACCTTTTTTTTAAGAGTCCCTCCAATTGGATAATGACATGTGGCGTACCGAACTCTGTTCCGGTCACACTGAAGAATCTCTTCATGGATGTATACCTTCACATTCATAATGTCAAGATTTTGATTCTCTCCGTTGGATGCAATATCGTCTTGTGTGTACCTTGAAAGTTGGATGTGCTTGTTTAGAGTTTGGATTCATCATGTCAAATGAGTTGGTTGAAATATCATATTGGAAGTCTGCATTTATATTCATATCAACTTTTAGTATATGTCGGTCAGATTTTGAACCAAACACAGAGAATATCATATTTGATCGTTAAATGATAAATATATTAAATAAATGCATGTACTGTTAAAAAATTACGTCATTTAACCGTTAAGTGAAATTAATTTAGGCTATGAGAATAGGTAAGATTTCAAGGTAACGTGTTTATTATGTTTTCACACTATGAATAATTTAACAAATTATTCAAAATTTAATATTCATTAACATTATACTAATGCTGGCTTCAAAAAATAGAAAAACATTTTAAGTTTTATTACTGCATAATGCGCTCTCTATATATAACAGATGCAAGAGTTTCATTTTCTACACAAGCAAACAGAGCACATCACGGTGAGGAAGAGGACCGCCATGGCTAGTGATTCCAACGACAGCTTAGCTTCCGAGTCTTCCGTCAAGATTCCGACAATAAAGTACACCAAGCTCTTCATCAATGGAGAATTCGTTGATTCCGTTTCAGGTTCTCATCATTTTTTTTCTTCCCAACAAAGCTATTAGCTTTCACGTACATAAGGCCGACCCAAGCCGACAAAGCTCCCCACTTTGTGAGGGTCGGGGGAAACATCTATAGTACACAGTCTTACTCTTGTTTTGCAAAAAGATTGTTTTCCTCGACTCAAAACCGTTACATTTCGGTCACACAATAGCAACTTCTCTTTTGTATCAAGGCTTGCCATCTAGCTTTCACATACATAAATTGTTAAATGCGTGTTTTGTTTTTGAATAGGGAAAACATTTGAGACGATGGATCCAAGAACAGGGGAGGTGAAAGCTAGAGTTGCAGAAGGAGATAAGGAACATGTTGATTTGGCTGTCGAGGCTGCACGCGCTGCCTTCGAAAATGGCCCTTGGCCTCGCTTGCCCGGCAGTGTATAGCATGCACTCTAAATCGTACTCTCGAAAAAGAATTTACTGTGTGAAATTAGAATACCGTTACATGATATAAATTATATATATATTGTCATTGCAATTACATTTGATTATGGAAACAGATCCTCTTTAGATCACTTCCACTTAATCCTCCACATCAAACAATCCGGACCCTTGAAATTTAATTCAACGGCTGAAATTATTATAACTTTAAAATGAGTCTGATTTTTAACCGTTGGATTAAATTTCAAGGATCTGGATTTTTTGATGAGAATGATTAGGTAAAAGGGATTCGTCATATAATTAAGAGATTTTTTTTTTTAAATGTCATATAATTTTTTTGAATTGTTAAATTAACTAAAATTTTTAGCTATTTGTCATACTAATTTTTCGAAATCATTAATTTATCATCTCACCCTAACTTCCTTTAAGTTTTCATACAAAATAAATCATGTGCTTTGCACGACTTGTGTTCAGATTAATTCGAACATTTCAACATAAAGAATATTATCCACTTTACCATTTTCGAAACACAAAAAAGAGAGTGCGGGTCTTTCCTCTTTTCCAAACAACAAACCCTCAGATCCCCGCATACCACATTAACCCCATTTTTGTATTTTTTTAGAAAACTCAAGAATTAGTTTTGTTAAAGACAACTTATTAAAAGGGGAGTGAGTTGTTAAAATATCTGAAATAACTCTCAAAACAAAACATGTGTGTTTCATATAACTTATTTAGATGGAAAACTTAACGAACTTAGAGTGAGGTGACAACTTAATGATTTCGAAAAGTTGGTATAATAAATCGCTTAAAATTTTAATTCATATGACAAATTAAAAAATGAATATAAGTTCATATGACATTTAAAAAGAAATTCCAACTAATTAATAAAGGAAATTGTTATTGACACTCCAAAAATCTCATTTTACACTCCTAACTTTCTATAATTAGAAAGAAAAATATATTTATGAGCAGTGTAGAATGAGATTTTTGGAGTGCTAATAACAATTCCCTTGATAAATTGCTCATTATTTATCTTTCCAAACTTTATATGCATTATTGGTCTCTTTTAGTTTTTTTTTGTTTGTTGGGATTCCATGTTTTCTAAAAATTATTAGAGCATTTCCAATCCATGTTTGAGAATTATATGATTGGACTATACTTCGCTGCTGAAGGATTCAGCAACAGCCAAGTCCAGTTATACATGATTTGGGTTGAATTGGGTTAGGCACTATTACTATTGACCACGCCTGCACGCCCTAAGCATTTAAAACATTTGAAAAATCTCTCAAATAATGCATGTTTTGCATGTATTATTATTATTCTTTTCCAAAACTACTATTATTCTATTTGCGTTGAGTATCTGCGAAGATCTCCTCATGTGGAAATGGAAAAACGAATAATCATTTTTATTATATATACGCTTTTTATTCAAAATGGTTCGAGATTGGTATAATTTTTCATTTTGGTTTCTGATATTTGAAATTTGTGGAAGTAGTCCTTAAGTTTGTATGTATTTTTGTCAATTTATCCTTATTTAATACATATTTTTCATGGAAATGCCAAAATGATTGATAGTGGACAAACTTATAGATCATTTTTATCGATTTCAAATTTTAGGAATCAAATTGAAGAGTTATGCCAATTTAAATAATCATATTGGCATGTGCATTCTTTTTATTAATATAAGTTGAAATGGTCATTTAATTGTCCATTTGAAATAGTAATTACAAGTAATGGTCTTAAGGTTGATGTATAATGAGGTCCCGCGGATGCCTGCCAGTACATAAAGGATAACAAGTTTGGTGCTCCTCTTTCCGCCATGAGTGGATCGGTAGTCAGATGTTATGAATCACAAATTGATGATAGCCATAAGTTTCGAGAACCAGAATTCCAAAGAGGGGATGCCTGCCAGTACATAAAGGATAGCAAGTTTGGTGCTCCTCTTTCCGCTATGAGTGGATCGGTAGTCAGATGTTATGAATCACAAATTGATGATAGCCATAAGTTCCGAGAACCAGAATTCCAAAGAGGGGAAGAGGGAGGGAGGTAGTGAGTATTGGATTTGAGAAATATACCACATATTCATATAAAGTCATGTGGCAAGGTCTCAAGACTATCATGTTTAAGTATCTAATTGCTAGACCTAATCATGTCAAAAAATTGTCTTGTTAGCTACTCAACTGACGCATAATTACCTCTCACCTTGATCAAATAGGGCATGATATAGATAAAACTAGTAATAGAACCCGCGCGATGCTGCGGGTTTTAAAAGTTTATAAAACATGTATAAAGTTGTATTCCAATAGTAGAAAATGATAGTAGGCAAGAGAAGCAAGGGGCTAGCTGTATAACAAAGCTTCAGTAATGCATATTTGAATGATAAAAAAAGTGAGAGATGTTAAAAGAAATAAGACAAAATTGGTAGAATGATAAATTAAAAAAGTAAGTTGAAAGGTGTATAGAAATGATTTCATCAAATGTTAAAGGACAGGACCGCTAATTACTAAGAGATGCAAGTAACACAAAAACAGTTACTCTTGAGCTTACAATTATGATTGTTGTTTGAGCGAGATCATTCAGCTCAATCTGCTCCATTCATCTGTCTCTTCTTACATGCTCCAGCCAAAAACACATAGAAAGAAAAAAGAAGAAGAATGTACGTGTTTTGTTCTCTTCTCATTTCCTCCTGAAGATACTCACAATGGATATCATTGACAATGATAGTATATTATTGTTTCTTTGGTCAAATGTAATCTAATATTGTCAATTGGTAGTTAGTTCTATAACATTGTTTTTGCAAAAACGAAAAAAGAATGTTGTAGAAAGATGGATAAGATACATTTGGTTTGGTATCTCTATGTAATATAGAGATATAATTTGCTGAGTTGTTTCAACTTCCATGATTTGGACAAATAATCATCACTTCCATATTTTCTCTTTAGAGGAATCGACTGTTACCAATTTGTAGATAAAGATTTTCTTATTTTATTTGGTATAAGTACGTGGTCAATGAAGTTGATTGTTCACTGAGGAGTTTATGGACATCTAAGAGTATAAATAGAGATGCTCCCACCAAAGATATACTCTCTCTACATGTTTTAACCAAGCCAAAAAACATCTTAGAGGTAGGGGAATTGTTAAATCTAACCAATAAGTAACGAAAGTGATTTATATATAGATTTAACAATTTCTTTATTGGCAAGGTATGCGGAGAGGGTATATCTTTAGTGGGGATATCAAGAATGATGCTCTTGGATGTCCAACTAAACTGATGCGTGGTCATGTGTTTGGACCAAACAAAAGGAAGATAATTCTTATCTACATTGGTAACAGGCGATTCCCCTGAAGAGCAATGTTAGTAAACATTGAATTTAAATGTAAAATGTTAGGAAACAATTTGAAAAACAAACGCATCAAACATGCAAAACTCACCTGGAAGTGCCGTATTAGATGGGTCTTAGCCAAGTTCGAAGCGAATCCAAATTGGGCAAAAAATTTCTGAAATAAAAAACCAAAGCACATGAGATACTAACAAAAGTCATCCAAAAAAACATGGAAAATCAAAACCTTGTGCGGCAACAAACATGTAGACCGGATTCATAATGGTTTCGTAAGGGGAGTTAGTATGATGAAACATCATTTGATAATTTAAAAAGTGAAATAGTTTAAAACACTGAACGCTTGAAAATAAAAAGGAATTAATCTAACTTGAATAAACAGGAATCAACTTTCACAGATAGGAAAATATTGAGTTTTTACCTGCTAGTCTAGCCATAGTAACGAAGACTACAGCTCTTATTCAAAGATCAATTCTTTTTCCAATAGAAAACTGTACGTTAAGACAAATTTATTCAATTAGAATGAAGCTAATGAGATTAAAGCCAAAATTTAAAACTAAGGGTGAAAATGGATTTGACAGCCACAAAAATTGATGATAGGATAGGTTACTTGGTAAAGTAGAAGGATTTTGAAAGCTGTAGACAAAAGCCATATAAAATGGAGACCAACGTCTGTTGAAACAGAAAAGAGAATTAAATTACGTATTTGAATGATAAATCTAATGATATAAACAAAAGATCTAAAACTATGTAAAACGTTATGTATCCATTAATAAAATTAAGAATTTTGTTGTAAATTTTGTAGCACATCTTTGAAAACTATATTTAGAGTATGGTTGTTCACATCATTTTCTACATATGTGATCAAAATTTTTAAACCTTCTCTTGATGTGACTCTAGACAATGCAACATATAATTGATCATGACTGAAAACAAGTTTGGGAAGATATAGTCCAACTTGTTTTAAAGATTGTCCTTGACTTTTATTAATGGTCATTGCATAACATGGCCTAACTGGAAATTGAAGTCTTTTAAAAATGAAAGACCACTTGTTTTCAGTTGCTGTAAGAGTGATTCTTGGTATGAATACTTTGTGACCAACATTATTTCCAGTAAGTATCTTAGCTTCAATAATTCTAGGAAATAACTGTGTGACAATTAATCTAGTTCCATTACATAAACCATAAGATTGATTTAAATTTTGCAACAACATAATTGGCATTCCTATTTTTAAAATTAAATTATGTGTAGGTAAACCATTGAAATCAAGCGTATTTAAAAATTCTGTAGGATACATTATGTCAAGATTCTCAACATTTCCACTTGAGGAACACAAAGAATCGTAGCTTAAAAATGTATGTTGTTCTCCAGGTAACAAATTGGTTATATAATTGTTTATTTCTGTTACTGTTGTATTCCGAGGTGTAACAATAGCTCGTTCTCTTAAGTAAACAAAATTGTGAAACAAATTTTTAAAATTAGGATAAGTTGCTTCAAAAATTGAAGAAATTGGGTGACACACCCCGTCCCGAAGGAGGGCATGCTGGCCGTCACGTGAGAGTGACGTAACCATTTGCACAGTACGGAAGCTTTAAGATACAATTTAAATTGATACACCCGAAGGTGAGTCCTAATTTTGTCCAATCTGTCAGAACACCGTCGAATTCCTCGTAGTCACCACACCTTTGTGATTCCTGAACCTGGAGGGGCGCAAAACCAAAATTGAGTGGGTCAGTAAAACAATTCTTTTCCAAATCCAAACATTTCTCAAAACGTTGTAACCCCTCTCCGTAAAACCTGTATACTTTCCCAGAAATGTAAAATATAATTATACATATATATTCTCAATACTTCAATTCATTACTCCACATTTTTCAGTACAAATATGCCATGCCATATCGGAATTCATCAGTTAAGTATGAATGCATCAACAGTAATTATATCAGGTGCAAGAAGTAATCAACCGGAGGCCCTCTAATAGCCCTGTACGGTTGAACCTAGAGCTCAAAATCTATCACTCTCACTCTGCCGGAGTCACCTCTGTGACCTGTACGGCCTTCTGCACACAAGTTACGCTCTAGTGCTTCTCTCATCAATCATCTGTGCACATAATCTAAGGTCACCTACCAGTCGGAACCCCTCTAACGGTCTGTACGACTGGCATGTCGGAACCACCCCCGGTGGTCTGTACGACTAGCATCTACTTGGATCCAAGGCGAGCGTGCGATGCGGTGAATACTATAAGCACTAAACTATGGTGCAGGATTTGAGCTCAATATACATCATCATCATAACAGTAATTAAATATTCATCTGTGCGTCCACCGCACCATTTCATACATATGCACCATAAATCAATTCTTACCTGTGCGTCCACCGCACCAATTCATACATATGCACCATAAATCAATTCTTACATGTGCGTCCACCGCACCAATTCATACATATGCATCATAAATCAATTCTTACCTGTGCGTCCACCGCACCAATTCATACATATGCATCATAAATCAATTCTTACATGTGCGTCCACCGCACCAATTCATACATATGCATCATAAATCAATTCTTACCTGTGCGTCCACCGCACCAATTCATACATATGCATCATATATTAATTCATGCATGGCATTTCAACTCACATTTCTATATACTTTTCATATCAATTCTATGCATGGTATTTCACTTCCCGTTTTTTCCACATAACTCATATGCATTTCATTTTAAACATATTTTCATTTCAATTCAATTTCTGGGAAACGTCAAGTATATATATATATATATACGGAAAACAAAACTGCCCACTCACCTGGAGTTCGTCCAACAACTCCCTAGCACCACACATCAAGGCGTCATGACGATCGCCGCCTAGAATAGTAATCAAATCCAGGCTCAGAATTCATATCGATAGAATACATAACTTATATAAAAATACGTCACTACGTAGATTGATCCGGAAGATCCACCCCTCAGATTTTAAATCCATAACTTCTAGAGGTCCACATTATACCTCTAGGACAACATCCTAAAATTTCATTACCATCCAACGGTCGGATCTCCGTCAATTTCCAAAACTAAGTGACGGTTAACATTTTATATTATGGACTTACAATTCCAATTCCGGAAGATCCGTAACTCGGATTCCCAATCCGTAAGTTCCAATAGTCCTTAAATATTACGTATTACAACGTATCAAAGTTTGGTGACGATCCAACGGTCGGATCATCAATTCACATTTTCACCAAAACTATAAAACGTTATTCGAACACCTAACCAACAATCCTCAATAACTTTCTCATACGGTGTTCAATTTAGGTATATGAATATACCACAGTGATCTACTCGACGTCACGGACGTCGACATATTTTTAAAATATTTTTATTTTTATTTTTTATTTTACTGTAGCACCATCTTCTTCCTTGGGTCGCCGGACTGGTTTTTCCGGCGGCCGTTTTCCGGGCAGTTTTTCAAATTGCCATAACTTTGTCATTTCTCAACGAAATCAAGTGATTCAAAAACGAAAGTTGTAGCCCTTGAAGAGACAAAGAGAATGGTACCTTTCCCAACACCTAGTTCGCCGTAGTTTGGCCGGAAACTGCCTCGAAAGCCTCGGAGGTCGCCGGAAACTGGGTATTTTTCAAATGAGTATAACTTCTTCAATACTCAACGAAATTGAGTGAAACAAAAGGGAAAGTTGTAGTACTTGACGAGACGAAGAGATTGATACCTACCTTGACTCCTAACTCGCCGGGGATTCGCCGGAAAATGCCTCGAAAGCTCCGGCCAAACTTTGAACTCGTCGATCTCCGTGTTCTTTCGTCCAAAAACTTCCAACGAAGCACTCCGAGCTTCCTTGGGACCTCACTAAGCTCGCTGTGATCTTGTTTTAGCCTAAAACGTAGTTATTAAAAGATGATGAACAGTGCTCTTCCACGGGGAGTTTAGAATCTAGGTTTTCCGAAGTAAAACTTACCTGAAATTGGTGTCTACGTGATCGTGGAGTCTCCAGGAGTTCGATGGTGGTCTTAACTCCGTCGTTGGTGGAAGTTTAAGGTTGTTTTGTGGTTGGTTTGTTCGAACGGAGAAGAAGAGTGACAGAGAGAGAGAGATTCGTGAGGGAGGAGAGAGAGAGACAGTATGCAGAAAATAGGGAGAGGATTGAGGGATGTGGGGATCCCTCGTGGTCCTTTTCCAATCCCCAACTCCAAACCACAAAATTTTAACCTAAAAATCTAAGTTCCATCCTTAATAAATTCCATTTTATTTTCAAAACTTAGGAACCTAGATAATTAACAATTTGAGCTTCACATACTTAGTATTTCTTAAGGGCAATTTCGTCCATTCACAGCCACGAATGTAATATTTTGGAACGGGCTGTGACAATCTTCCCTCCTTATAGAATTTCGTCCCCGAAATTCCAGCAACCAACCAATTCATCAACACTTATACCAACCTCGGTAAGTTTCTTTCATCCGATTCTTTTTCTCCCACGTAATTTTCTTCCACTGAATGATTCCTTCACAAAACTTTTACCATTTACTCTATCTTAACTCTCAGGACCTTCTTTTTCCAATCCAAATTCTACTTTTCT